GCCAGGTGCGCACACACACATACACACACACACACACACACACACATACACAAACACAGACAGACAGACTACGACAACACTTCCTGTGTAATAACCTGTTTGCTACCGTTTCAACCTCTCGTCATCACAGCATTCCTTCTCTGTCTCTCCAGTGCAGTTGACTGGGAGTTCTTCAGCCTCGGGGAGGAATATTATCTGGTTGTTGCTAACTCCTTTAACGGAGAATCCTACTCTCTCAACAGCATTCTCTACAGGTAACGCAACTTGTCAACAACATCCCTCCCAGTGTGAAATAATTCATACATTCTGATGGCCCTCTAACGTAGTGCTGAAATCCTCTCTAAAACTACGCTGTTGTAATGTAGATTTATTTTCCCTCCAGTAAGCCTGACTAGTGAAAGCATACCAGCACTTTTGACATGTGAGGATTCATTAGGAACTAGGAACTGGCTAACAGCTAATTTTAGGTCTCGAGCCTTTGCAGATGCAAATACATCCTTTGATTTGATTTCTCTCTGTTTGTTTTTAGGTGGCAGGGATATGAAGGCTTTGTTCCTGTTCATTGGCTCCCAACGATTGGGTGCAGTGACTGGGAGTTTTTCAGCTCTAAAGGAGAATCATATCTGATCTACTCCAGTGCCAAAGCACCTCTCTCCAAAGTGTTCAAACTGAAAACCTACTAGGCAAAAAAAGGAGTGTGCATGTGTTTTTTTTGTGTACTGTATTTATTTGAATGTACATGATGTCTTTGTGAGTGTCTGTGTGTCCCTGTGTGAGAAAATGTTTGCAATAATATTTGAAACGTGTGAGTGTGTGTTTAAGTAATTGTGCCTTTATAATACTGTGTCTGTTCACAATTTACATACAGTCAGGGCTGTAGCAACCATTACGGTTATTACATTAGTATAACTTCTAGAAATCAGTTTTTTGTTTTTAACCTGAGGAGGATTTTACATTCTACAATTACACAGAAATTGCACATGGTGGGTTTTGAAGAATGATTTTGATATTTCTTAGAGTAGATATCTTTAAATTTGACAGTTAACTTTAAGAGGATATAACATTCCTCCACAACAGTTATGTTCTAGGTTATCCTAAGGTTCTGAAACTGTGTTTAGACCATCATGTCGAGAGATCAAACTTAAACTTAAAGGACCAGAGTGGCAGAATCCAGTGGTATCTAGCAGTAAAGTTTGCAGATTGCAACCATGTGAATACAGCTCAGCCTTCCAAGCATGTAGGAGAAACTACAGTGGCCACAAAACGTACGAAAAACATGTTCTGAGTTACTGTAGAAACATGGCGGTTCAACATGGTGGCCTCCGTGGAAGAGAACGCACTGCAGATAAAAACGTCTCATTTTAGGGTAACGAAAACACAATTATTATAAATATATACATATTATATTCCATTTCTGCTAATAGATCCTCCTAATTCTTACACACTGGACATTTAACAGTTAAATGAATGAATAAAATGAGAACAGTTTTAGCTGGGTGAACTTGGTATAATGACCTGGCCTGCACACAGTTCATAGTGTGTTCTGAGTTCATTCACAGACCTCATTTTAACACAAATATCACATGCACACAATTTTTATCAGAATATATCTATATATTTGTGTGCTTTATCTGACAGAAATGAATACGACTCAAGGCAGTCTCTGTAATATTTTGTATCTGTCTGTAAAAACATTTAATATTAATGGTGTTTAACATTTTGTTTATTAACTGGAATGTGTGTTCTCTCATAATTCGGACTGATCATTACTTGTTTGTTTGTTCTGACTGCATGAATATAAAGTGACAGTAACTTATTTAAATGACAATAAACCAGACTAAATATGTTTATATGCAAAACAAGAGTTGTTTGTGCATTGGCTAACCTTCAGCTATGTTCATTTGGAGCTTGTAGGGTGGCAGGAAAGATGGTAAACATACCCTGCAGGCTCGAAACACACGTTTTTTTTTTTCCAAGTCATTTAGTGGCAAAATACCTGGTGAGTTCTTACATTGCTATGCAAACCAGCGCACATGGCCCTGGGCACTCTGCTGTCAACCTCTCTAACAACTGTAAAACATGTTTGCTGTGGGGGACTACTACAAGCACCATGACTTCTAGACTAGACTTGTCGGAAATGTAGTTTTTATAGCTACCTTGCAGTACACACAAATGTACCAATAAAACACGTTTGTTTTATTGCTGTATCAAAAAGTGACAATAAATTACTGAAATTACAATAAACAATTTTATATGCAATGTCCAAATGATGAAAATATCTCCAGTTACAGTCATTTGAACGTGCCCTTTGACTAAGTGACTAAACTACAAGTACCACAATGCACCACTCACTTTTCTACCAGGAAGAAACATGGCTGCCTACTGTTCACCGACGGGATTTTTATTTACGTTTCGTTTGTTATCTGTTTTAAGACGGAGAGAGGAAGAAAGAGACAGTGACAGCAGCTATAGTTACATCGTGTAATGAGTAAATCAACTGTTACAGTGTCGGTGAAGAAGACGCCATTTTTCCAGTCGTAGAGAGACTAACCATTAACGTTACTGACAGACAGCTTTTTTTTTTTTTTTTCCCATTTTCGCTGAGCTATCAAGCTGCTCAACAGTGTCGGGACTACGACTGATTTGCCTTTGTTAGCGTGCTGGGCTCGCTAACAACAACGTAACTGCGAGTCAAAGGCATATTACATCCGGTAATAGTCGCTATGTTTAGCCCCGTGAAGTCTTCTTATTTCAGAGTCAGCCCGGCCATTGTCAACAGAGAACTCGGCAAGACCAAGATGAGATAGCAAGAGGGCACATCGGGAGTGATAACACACACGATTTACTGCGAGTCCCCCAGCATAACCGAGAGAAAACTGAGCAAATAACGCACTCAGCATGTTTGGGAATCTTTTCGAGGAAGAGGAGGAGGAGGAAGGCTTCGCTTCGACTTCCTCCAGGGGGAGAGTTGCGAAGGGGGGAGAGGAGCCACCTCCACCCCGAGGAAGAAGCAATCTGTGCGGCATCAAGAACCAGGGGGGGACCTGCTACCTGAACTCTCTGCTGCAGACTCTGCTCTTCACCCCAGAGTTCAGAGGTAAGGCCAGGTTAGATTAGTGGGATGAGACTGAGGTCCACCAGTGCTGTAAAGAAAACAAGAGGGTAGTTTTCTATACATTATATTCTTTTTACTTCATTTCTTGGTTTTGTGTTTTTTGCAGAGGAGTTGTTCAGTTTGGGGCCAGAAGAATTGGGATGCCTGGAAGACAAAGAGAAACCAGGAGCCAAAGTAAGTGCGTGTACTGTAGGTGTAACCGTAGATGTATAGTGTCTGTGTAATGTCTGTTGATTTTTCCTTCCTTCTTCTCCTCAGGTCAGAGTGATCCCACTGGAGCTGCAGAGACTGTTTTCCAGTCTGCTAATGGTGGACCAGCAGTGTGCCTCCACCGCCAACCTCACTGACAGTTTTGGCTGGAACAGCAGCGAGGTCTGTGTCCATTATCTTTTGTCAGCGAGATGGAGAAAGAGAGGCTCAGGTTACACTTAATTGATTTATCTTCCAGTCACACCAGAAAAAGCATGCCGAAATTCACAAAAACAGCATTTCTAACTGGAATTCCACTTTGTCTGAGGGCATCCCGGCTGCAGTCCTGCAGAATTAATACATAATGAGGGGAGAACAGACAGAAACATTCACAGAATTTGCCTCGGGACACGCATAACTACCTTTTCCACGTCAAGAATGTACATGATGTGATGTGGCAATGGACACTGTTGTCCCACAGTTCATTGCTCAACAGAAAACAAACATGTAACTATTACATGTGTGGAGTTTGATTGACCTTCATCAGAGCAAATCTCGTATCATTTCCTGTTTGTATAAAATGGTGAAGTACATTGATTTCTTCAATAGTAACTACAAAAACAATATCTTATAAAAAGTAGTATAGAACTGGGACACATCATCTTTCTTTCCTTAATTTGATCCTTTTTCTGTTTCTCTCTCTCTTAGGGAACAAATCAGCATGATGTGCAGGAGCTGAACAGGATTCTCTTCAGTGCATTGGAGCACTCTCTTGTGGGAACCACTGGTAGTACATTTATCCACCGGCTGTACCATGGGACCATTGTCAACAGCATTGTCTGCAAGGAATGTGGCAACGTCAGCCAGAGACAGGTGTGTCCATGTGTACAAGGCTTCTCTGCCTCTCTGACTTCGCTCCATTAAATACTGTTGGACATACTTTATATGTCTTTGGCTCAATAAGATGTAGTGGGACTGACACTAAAGGAGTTATCCATATGCACTTAATCTCACTACTAAATGCAAAGATTACTGATTAATCCAGCTCTGTTTTTTGTGTGCCTTCTTTAGGAGGATTTCCTGGACCTGACTGTGTGTGTTTGTGGCGTCTCTAGCCTGGAGGACGCTTTGTGGAACATGTTTGTGGAGGAGGAGTTGTTTGAGGGCAATAACCTGTACCGCTGTGCACAGTGTGACAGGCTGGTCACTGCTGCCAAGGTCAGTGGCAGTTTTCAAACTGTGCCAACAGTATAACAAACATTATAATACATTACACCTTAAAAGACGTTCTCCTCTCGTTTTCCCTTTTTGAACAAGCCTTACCTTATCAATTGATGTGAAAAGAGGCTTAAAACTAGATACGAAAAGAACTTCCAACAACTTTTTTTTCAAAAAACACCTTATTTTTCTTATTTTGAATTATTCAGTCTGCCAAGCTGAGGAAGCTCCCTCTGTTCATGACCATGTCTCTGCTGAGATTCAGCTTTGACTTTGCCAAATGTGAGAGATACAAGGAGACAGGACGGTACAGTTTCCCCTTCACCATCAACCTACAGCCATTTTGTGAACAGGTACCCAACACCCTCACCTCACTTGCTTTAAGATTCTGCATATTTAACATGCCTTTTCCCGATTGTTGTTTTTTTGTTCCTTTCTCTTCTTTTCCAGGCACACGCTTACACTAAGATGTCTTGAAAAGTTAATGATTATATGTTCCACTCTTTACAGACTGATGGAGAGGACTCTGATTACTCCTACGAGCTGTTCTCTGTGATTATCCACAAGGGCGGCTGCTATGGTGGCCATTACCATGTTTATATCAGGGACATTGACCAACTGGGCCACTGGGAGCCACCGGTGAGAAAAAGAGAAGAGCTAACAGGAGGATAAGGATATTTAATATAAAATAAGCAGTCATTAGTTGGGCTTCATTTTTAGAATATATGATGCTTGTAGTGACTAATGACTAATTGCTCATTTCCCAGAAAATTACAAATAATAAAGAATATTGCTAACTTTTCTGACTAGCATTTCTGTCAGTAATGTATAAAAGTTTATTAAAAACCGCAAGCTTTTGGATGTGTACATTGGGAAAGGCATCACCTGTTTTGTTTCAATGTCAGGAGGAGGATTGCAAACCCAAGACTCAGAAGAAAGTCAAGGAAGAGTTCAAAAAGGAAGTGTGTGAGCCAAAAGTACAAGAAGATGACCCTTTGTCTGTCCTCACTGCCATTATTGCCCAGGTACATACAGCAAATCTAAGTGCTTCCCCTAAGTCTGAATTTATTTGTCTGGTTATTTTTTTTGCCCAACTAATTAGGTCGTATTAATTTCCTGTCCACTAGGAGCCATCAAAGAGTGTCCTGTTAGACCAGCTGGGCCAAAAACTCATGGATAAGATTGGGTCATCCTGGAGCAAAAAGTTCAGGAAACACTATGGTCCCATAGGAAAGGTATTTTTGTTTTCTTTGTTTTCATGTTTTTGTTTTTTATTTAAGTCTGGTGTCCTTTGGGACATATACCAGTTTATTTCTTATATCAATAAATGTCATGTCTTTACTTTTTCTCCTCTGGTGTAGTTCCTGCAGTCCCACAATGATGTTTTCATGTTGGTGTCCAATGGTACTCGAGTGGCACTGAAGGCAAACCCGCCAAGCCCTGTGACTGAGTCACCCGGCTCAGCAGAGCAGACTACTAACTCTGATCCTTCAACACCTTCAGACCCTGGAGCTGACGAGCAACAGCCAAAGCCTGAACAAGAGGTATTAGAGTCACATTTTAGCAGGAATTCAAGGTCTAAAATGACACTCTTGAGACGGAGAAGAAAAAAAACAAAAAACATCTGTGTTCCTGGCTGACATCTTGTGATTGCTTTGATGCCTGTTTCTCACAGTCTTTCTTCCTGTATGTCAGCAGGGTAGCCACTGGTTTGACCTTAACGACTCCACAGTGACCTCCATCAGGGAGTCTGACATAGAGAAGCAGTTCCAGGGCAAAGAGAGTGCATACATGCTGTTCTACAGAAAAACACAGCTGCACAGGCCCAGTGAAGGTAATGAACTCCATGTTTTTGCATGTGTGTGTGTTGGATCAGAGAAAAAAAGAACAATGAATCAGTTAATCACTGGTTTAATTTTGGTTTTGTCATCAAGCACACAGAAAGGCTAGTAATTAGATGACTAATATGTATCTATTAAAGTGTGCATTGTGTTTCTATATTTGCAGCACTGAACAATCCCCAGTATAAAGTTCCTCTTCACCTAATCCAAATGGCTCAGGAGGAGAACATCAAACTGCAGCAAATGCGGTACAGAATCAAAGACTCATTCACATATTTCAATAGTATTATGACACTTTTAGCTCTTAGTAGGTTCTAACTTAGTCGTGTGACATTTCAGTGATATCTAAAATTTGTTCATTCAGAAAAAAAGAAAAACTTCTATGAAAAAGGGTCTGTTGCATAAATTATTAATATCAGTCAACATTGTTTCTGTTACAGTGAGGAGTTTGAAGCCACTAATAACACTGTGGAGCTGCGTCTCCACCTGGCACCCAGTTACAGGCTAGAAAATGGAGCCCTGCAACCAATCAGCAGAGAACAGAACGGAAGCACCACTCTGAGTTTCGACCGTAGAAAGACTGTGGGAGATCTACGATTAGCTATTTATCAGGTAACTTCATTTCCATTAACACTAGCTTGTGTTCTAAAATGCTGGAAAGAAGAATGTTTTATGTGCATTTGTTTATATAGATGCAGGAACTCTGGGAAGGGGATATGGCTTTGACTGTGGCCAAGAGTCTTCCTGCAGGTCTTCACCTCTACAATACGGTTACAGGTGAGTCCCATGAATGCAAACTACCTCAAGAGGATAGAAGTTTTACAGATGTTGTAACTACATTCTGGTTGTGGTACTCTTTGCAGATGACAGTGTCTCCCTGTACAGTGCAGGCATTCATACAAACTCTGACCTGTTTGTGTGGAACGGAAGAGAGGTGAGGAAGGGCATAGTCCCACACAGAAGGCCTCATACAACATTTATCTTATCTTAAATGTCTCTCACTTTTTTCCGAGAGGCTTCCTTGTACAAGTGTTCACCAAAATCTCTACACAAACTTGTAACCAGCCTTTGTGGAGGACGTTTGATAAATAAAAACGACACCCAAGAGTAAAAATAACAGACAGAAATAAATAATACATTTTTAAATGCTACGAAAACATCATGCTGAAGCAGATCAGTTGATGACTTAGATGGAAGGCCATCAAGGGGACATGACAGTAAGAGATGGACAGGTGAATATTATACTGTAGGTGATGTTAATGTCAGGTGTTACAATGGAAGATGTTCCCTTGGACAGCATAAAGACCCAGAAATAGCAGTCAGTGGGAGAGTTTTTCTAACTAATCTAGTGTATAGGTACCTCTGCCAAAGTATGCTGATAAAATCTAAAAAAGGAAAAAAAATTTCAAACTTTACTGTCAGTAAATTGGAAATAATGCATGATGATAATAATCTGATAAACAAGTTTATTTTAGCATATTTAAATTCATTCAGATTAGGGCATTGGGATTCTTAAGTCAAAGTGTTCTTTTTCAGTTTAGAGAAAGGTGGACCTTGCTCGGTACTTGATTTGTACAGGTCTGAACCATTTGAACATTTCATTGGAAAATCATAAGTGGGAGAAAATGGGTGAATGCAATTTCTATTACATCACTTCACTTACAGTACGTTCCAACTTAGAATGAAATCTGTTGATACATGTGGTTTTTCCATGAGGCCCAATGTCTGTCTCCAACTTGCTCACTTGACAAGATCCCAAAAGACCGACTTGTGTACCTAATTTTTTTTATCTCTTAAGGTGTGTGGTGCGACTATCCTAACTGGAGCTGAGTGGGAGCCGGTGCTGCTGACTGTAGTGCGTCCCTTTTTGGGGGAAGATGAGCTTCCTGAGGTGGAAGATGCGGTTGAGTGTAAGGAGGGAAGGGGAGGTTTTGAAAATGGGGGGCCAGGTCTTAAAAGGGAGGCGAGAGGTTTTGCAGGTGCTGTGACTCTTGGGGAGGTGAAAGTGGCATTGGGGGAGCCTAAGGAGAGTCTGCTGTGTCAGGAGCATAAGGGAGGAAAGAGGGGAGAGCATGGGGCAGGAGAGGGAGGAGGGGCAAGTGGATGGAGATTATTCCCCCCCGATGACATGCAGCGGACGCTAAAGGAGCTGTCTCTGAAAGACGGAGACGCGCTGTTGGTGCTGGAGCCACAGTCGTTCGACAGCAGGTAAAACCCTCTGCAATGTGTGTACACGTTGTTTTCTTCAGGTGTGTGTTTTACTACTGTCTTTTTAACTTTGTTCAGCATGTTCACTCTAAACGGAGACGTCGTCACTGTGACTACACCGTCTGACTGCCGCTGGCTCCAGGTGGAGTTTCAACCACAGGGAGGAGGAGGAGAAGGGGAGAAAGAAGAGGAGAGGAGGAAGATCAAGGTTCCTGCCACAGGAAATATGGTCAGCAATTTTTGTGCTGCTGTGTTTGCTCTGTCTGGTTCGTCTCGTCTTCATCTTTATCTCTCATCACATTCTAAAAATCACGTTTAATGTCTCTCTTACAGCTACTGGGTGAGGTGAAGCAGAGGGCCATAGAGGAGCTGCAGCTACAGGAGCAACCCCCAGGCAAGCCCCTCAGTGTTAAACATAACTGTGTCTGCAGGGGATCTCCTGGTCAGCCCCCCCCCTTCATTGTTGGGCAGTCAGTATATGCAGATGCAGAGTCTTTCATAATGCAGCAATACAGTCTCAAATACATTAAAGTTTAATTGAACTGATCTGTTTTATGTGTATAAAACATGTTATGTTTGACAAGTCACCAGTGAATATCATTGAATAAGTACAAAATAAGAGCTTGCCAAAGTAAACAGACATCAAAGATATCATAAAAGGCTCTTGCAAAATGTAAAATCATAAGCCGTTAAACTGGGACCCTTCAAACTTAAGACCACACTGCTTTATGTTTGGAGTATTGTCTACTTTATTTATATACTAGATTTATTATATTTTCTCAATCTTGGCTACTGTTCAGGCCCTCACAAAATGTGTATCTGTGTTTGCATTCTTATATAAGTAACTATACATTCTTAAATCAGCTGTTTTTATTTTCTCTGACCAGGTGCACAGTACTGTCTGAGACAGGTGGACTGCACAGGGAAACTCCTTCCTCCAGGTACTGTTTCATTTGTTACCTGGGGGTGATTTTAATGGTGCAGATAACTTAGTGCTGGAAATCCCCCTCATTTTACCAAAAATATTAAGATATATGATTCCTTTACACTGCCCCCTCATAAAATGTTTAAAAGGTACTCCCCCTTATAATGTTTCTTCTCATCATCTATCTTTGAAGTTTCAGAGTGTGTTTACTAAGTGCACTTGTGTTGTCCAACCTGACAGTGTGTGAGGAGTTGAGTGTTCGGGATGCAGGCGTGCGACTCATGACCACACTGACTCTCTGTCCGGGAAGTGCCCCCAAGGCATCACAGGTGTGTCTTTTTATTTGAAATCTTCAATAAACTCTTTGTACTTGCAGCTGCACAGGTGAATGTTACAGAACCTTTAAGTACTAATAAACCTTTCCTATCCAAACAAATTGAGATGAATTGATGTGAGATTTTTTTTTCTTTGCGTTGCAGCTTTTCTTGCACTTCTCTGTGGGCACAGCGCCCTCTGCTGGCATGGAGATGGACATAATTGTGGAGAATACTTGTACTGTCAAAGAGGTGAAGACATGTTCATGTACTTATTTTGTGAAACATTCATAATTTATTGGAACTTATGTTACATGTTACTTTGAAATTCTTTTTTTCTTATTTGCAGTGTCTAAAGTCAATGCTGGATGCTGTTGGACTTGATGGTAAAACAACCTTTTTTATTTCTATTTTCTTTTCTTACTACGTTTGTAACTTACATGTCCTGCAGACTCAACCTTTGGTTGCTGTTCATCAAGATTATCTTTGCTTCTGTAAGACTCTTTGTAAGTAATTCTTGATGCTATATCTGGTTGTTAATGTCATTTAAATGTGTGTTTGCAGGCACCTGTTGGCACTTGAGGAGGCTCGATTGGTGTGAGGAGGTTGGAGAGCCACTTATGGACGAGGTGAGTGGCCGACTATAGTGTGAACAGTATGTCATACCAAAATAGTTTTTATTTTTTTTACTTTAGTCTTTTTACCCTGCTTACTTTTATAATTATATTTAGCACCAAGCAAAATTCATAGAGAGAATGTTGTCTGAAATCTAACAAGGTACTAAACTGTGAATGAAAACGTGCATATAGCCAAAACCACATGACACCAAAACTTTAAATTATTTGACCTGCCATATACTTTAATATATATGTATATTGTTATGTTGTAGTATGTTGGCCTGACAAGTTTCATACTGGTATATTCAGAATTATTAATTAATTCCTCCCTTATTTTTTCATTATATTAACAACAACCTTTTATTTTCAGGATGCTTCTCTATCAGAGCTGAAGATAAGCAATGGAGACTCATTAGTCGTCACAGAAGGACAACTTCCTCCAAAGGTACTTTAAATGTTTGGATTTTAGCTGGAGATTCAGTTTATACTATAACGTTACCTCTCTCTTTAGCCTTTGCTGTCTCTTTTTTCTGTCAGGGTTTTCTCAAGATATCTGTGTGGCTGTATCTGCATCCCAGTAACAACTCCATGGAAACTGACTTTAATCACACTGACAACGGCCATACTGAGGAGCAAATGCTGGAGGCAGTGACTGCAGGTGAAACGGAGAGTCACCCACCCCCTCTGTGTGCCGGCAACATGGCAGAGCTGAGAAGTGTAGGGCAGGTGGAGATATCGGACGAGGCCACCCTGGAGGATCTCAAGACTCAGGTAGCATATGGAGGTTATATGTATATTGAGTTTAGTTGGAGCAGCTGGAGTCATACACACTAGTTGGGTAATCCTCAAATATCCTAAATTAAACCTCTAGTTGTTTTCAGTCCTTATTACTTGGGACTCGACAGAACTGCCCTTTTTCAGTAGACTTTATTCAACACCTGCTCAAATCCAGCAGGGCTCTGGGTCTGTGAGACTAAGGTTGAGAGAGTACTTCATTAACAGTGTTTTTTTTAATTTATATAGAATTAGGCACTGCAATCTAGGGAATGCTCTCATTTATATTCATAATTTAATTTGAATAGGTTGAACAATGAGGCTAGGAGATTATGTTTACATTCTGCTGTCTGTGGGGCACTGTAATTTGTGGAGGGCAACTACAACTAAACGCATGTGAAGGAAAATGCTTCTCTTTTCTCTTTCCTCTTTCCTAAAATCATAGTGTAATTGTATGTGTTTTTGATTATTTTTCCTAACCAAATGTTTAAAGATGTTCTTCTTGCTCTACTTTATCGTCCACTTCTGTATCAGGTGTTGACACTGCCTGCCCTTCAGGATGTGTGTGTGCCAACCACTGCGTTCATGCGTGTGTGGCAGCTAGAGGAACGAAGGCTGGCACGAATCCTCAGAGGACAACAACTCACACTCAGGTATGAACACTTCCACAGGGTTTATTCCTAAACATATGTAATTGTTAGCCACCTGATTCTATTTATTACTGATGAATGCAGAGGTTTTGCTTTGCAATACTTGCGTACATCATCCAGATGTTCTCTTTGGTTTCCTTCTGATCAGGAAATTGAAGCTGACCAGTGGTACAGACCTTTGTGTGCAACAACTACTAAAAGAGGAAGATCTTGGGTAAGGTTTGATAAATAATGCTATGTAGCTTCCTTTCATTGTATGAGACCAGTATGGACATTTCCCCTTATTTTATTTCTCAGTTAAAGTGTTTATGTCCTTCTGTTCCTAAGTCCTAAGGACGTGTTGCTGAATATTAAAATGGGAGTACCAGGGGAGAGGTGTTACTACCCTCCAGAGGAGCTGGTTTGGGATGCATCCCGTGACTCTTCTCCTCGCTCTCTGCGCACTTGTCTGGCTGCACACTACAGCCTCTCCCCTGACTCGCTGCTGTTGGCCAAACACCAACCAGACAAACACACCTGGGAAGAAATCTCAAACTGGGTAAGATTAGGGGAGTCTTTTCAAACCTGTTTTAGAAGTTTGGGGGCAATTTTTATTTATAGATAAAGATATCAACCCGAAGTCTTAATATTCTATTCTATGTGTTGCTAATTCATTGTCACGTTATCACTGAATAAAATGTCATACGTTTGTTTTATACTGTCAGAGCCAGCAGGTTTCCAAAAAGAAAAAGAAGAAAAAGGCAGAATCACTACTGGGAGCACCATTTCACCTCAAAGATGGAGACACAGTCGGCATCAAGGTACTGGTATGACCCAGTTTGTTTAAAAATAAATCAGTTTTGGTTTGATTTGTTTGAGAACACTAATTCTGCTCTTAATATTTCTTCCAGAATCTTTTGATTGACAACAACAGGGACTTTGTCACCGTGGAGGATGAGCAGGGCCAGCAAAGGCTCAGAGAGCAGGCAGAGCAACGCAGGAAAGGGTGAGAATTCAAATCTTTTAGCACATTTATTAATTAGACTACACTGATTAGTAGTGTAGCTGGAATACCACCACATTGTGTCACTTAGATCTAATCATGTGACTTTTTATTAAAGATTGTTTTGAAAATGTTTTACCCCTGCTTCTTTTTCAGAGGGCAGGCTGCAAACTCTGATGGTGTTGGACCACAAAAGAAGACTGGACCAACTAAATCCAGGAAACCAGAGGTGGCGCTTTCAATCAATGTTGGGGTATTCAGATAGTACCCTGCTCCACATGCACAAACACAGATGCCGCATTGCAGGACAATCCACTTGACGTCGGTCTTGTGCCATTTTTTTTTTTTTTCAAACCGTATTTCTCCCAAAATGAATTCCTGCTGTGTCTGATTTGTTGACAGGAAGAGAAGTGATTTCATTTTGGCATTTTGATTTGCTGTTTAGTAACAACTGACTACAATTTGCATTGCATCTATGCAATATTACTAGATTTGTTACATCGCTTCCTCTCTCTACAAGCTCTCTAAATTACAACCACCACAAATCCCCTTTATTTAATTAAATTGCCGTTTTTTCATTTTGTGAGGGAAATTTAAAGACGGTGTGACGTTCAGGAAAACAGATTTTTTTTGCTGCATGGATCAGTAGATAATTTGTAACCATATATTGAAAGTATAAGCCCTGACAACACAGTTTCTACTTCCGGTGTTTTTTTTTGTTTTGTTATTACAGGCTGGCAGTTATAAACTAAGGCTTGTGCTAACTGGAGTTTTTATATACTGTTTTGTATTAACTGTAGCAATCGGGGTAAAATAAAAATATTGGTAGCCACCAGCCTGTGGCTTTCATGTTTAATAAGTTGTTCAATAAAACAAGCCACTGTTGTAGGAAATCAACCATCATTAGGTCTCGCTGTTGCTCATATGGAAATTTGTTTTTAGCAATGCTCATTTTTATAATAAACCCGTCACTGTGCGGCAATAACGAAAATGTTCATCTGGATTTAAGGCTTGTTTTAGGTTGATAAGAGAGAGGAGAGATAGGCCTTAATGTGGAGAAGCCTCAGTGCTGCTCTGTCCTCCCTACCTCACTCTCTACCTCTCTCAATCTACCTCTGCTGCCCTCTATTTCCCCGCTCAAAATCTTGCTTATACTTTTATTTTCTTCAACCCCTGCTCTATTAGAGTCAATTGGCACAGACCTAGCTTCTAGCTGTATTCCTTAAATGGTTAAATAACTTTATTGTCTTTTATTGGACATGATCCACCCTTTTTACAGCTGATGCTAAACTGTCTTCACTTTCACCTCAAAACCGTCATTGTGTTATGTAACCATCTATGATGCCAGGTGAATTTGCTGCTCCAGAAATATAATGTAAAACGACGCATTCAAATCCTTACTGCCACTTTTTTCCCCTTGATTATGTTAAAGGTCCCTGAGTTTTCATTGTGGAACATTTTGTGTTTCATTTGCATGCACTATATGTGAACTTCAGGGAAGTAAAAATTATTCTTGTAGATAATTTATTTGCGGAAAAAAACAAAACAAAACTGACTTAATGTTTTTACTGTATGAACTGTGATATGTTTTTGGGGGTGATTTGATTTTGTTATCAAAGTTTTTGTACGCTGCTTGCACGTTTTGTTTCATGTAATAATCTGGCCTTGATCAGTGCCAAGTTTAAATTTAATCTTTTTTTTCTTTTTTTAAAGCAGATGCAGCAAAACTGTTTGACAATATACTCAGCAATAGTAAAATTAAATTTTGTATCATACTGTATATACTACTAGTGTTGATTGCATCTTTGGTGTTATCGATAAGGACTTGTCTACTGTGTTATGACAGTGGACGTATGTTTGTATCTGTGTCAGATTGTATCTGATGAAAGAATTTTATCAACAATGAAGGTATACAGTTGTAGTTTCTGCCTTGACATTTGTGGTTTTGGGTGAAGTGTCTCAACAACTATTGGATGCAATTTTGGACCTCTCAGGATGAACTAAATGTGTCAGAACAGGAAATTGTAATAATCATTCAACCAAACCTGTCTTGTATCTTTTAAACAGAAATGATTGTATGATAGTGATAAATACATTTTAAGGCCAAATCAAGCACATAAGCTAAATGTGGTGCAGTGGTGTCCCAGACCTTTTTTAGGATTTTTCCAGAATGCATCATGGTCGAGTTCTTAATAAGGAAGAAGAGTCCAATATTCTTATAAGATGAAAGAAAGTCTTAAAAGACTTTTTAAATGTAAGATCCTATAAAACAAATCCAATAGGACTGTGAAGATCCAATGAAATCACAACCATTTAGTCGTAGTCTAGAAATGTATGTAGTGAATCTTAATAACTTCTGTGACTTTTTTTTTTCTTGCTAGCACCATAATCTGATCAAAGTTTTAATTTGCCCAATAATTATTTATGATTCAATACCTACAAAAGTAATGTTTCCATCAGCCTCAGATTTATTTCATTACCTTTTGTTTAGTGCTAATTAGCAAATGATAGGAAGCTAACAAGCTAAATGATGAACTTGGCAAACATTACACCTGCTCAGCATGCTAGCATAGTCATTGTGAGATTGATAGCATACTAACATTAGCATTTAGTAGAGACTCACAAAGCCCCTAGCATGGCTGTAACTTTACCACTTTGTATTAATGAGATATATGTGGTACATTTTTGTAATAAATAATTACTATAATTTTATTTCCGTGTTTATCAGGGAGAGCAGCAATTATGTGCCACTCACTATGGTTGATATTCACAATTGATTTCATACATTAAACAGCACATATTTTCCAATGACCAATCACAGCCGACAAAAAGTCTGTAACATCCAATCAGCTTTCAGGCTGCAGCTCGAGTCCCCGCCCTGTGTGACAGTATTAATTTAGCAGGCAGGCACGCTGTGAGATTTACTGCAGGGAGAACAGAGGCTGTCTGACAGCTCCTTACTGAACTGGACCAATAACAGCTGAAAAAATGGTTGATGCTTTCTGTGCTACATGGAAACTGGTCGACAGCCAGAACTTTGATGACTACATGAAGGCACTTGGTAGGATACATTTTCTCCTTTAAATGAGAGATGATTGTTTGTTGTGAAAGAAATGTTGTGTACTGTAGGCTTATTCTACAATTGCATATCTGGGATAGTAGCTTATTTTTTCTCAAATATTTAGATTTACCGAAAACAAGTAAAATAGGTCTTAATTTGTATTTAGCATAATGCATCACTGAAGGCACTGTTGTTTCCACAGGTGTCGGTTTTGCCACAAGACAAGTGGGCAATGTCACCAAACCAACAGTAGCGATCAGCCAGGATGGAGACAAAGTGGTGGTGAAAACCCTGAGCACCTTCAGGAACACCGAGATCTCCTCCAAACTGGGAGAGGAGTTTGACGAGACCACGCCTGATGACCGGCATGTTAAAGTAAGCTGAGTAAAAGTCAGTGTATAATCTTCACAGTGACTCTTACACTCTAGCTGTAGTTTGACCTGAGATGGTTTAAATTATTGTGTTTTTTCTAGTCTACCTTCTCCATGGAGGGAGACAAATTTGTGCAAGTGCAGAAGTGGGATGGCAAGGAGACCAAATTTGTCAGAGAAATCAAGGATGGAAAGATGGTGATGGTAAGATTAAATAACACACACACACAGTATCTTTATGGAGTTAGATATGAACCCATACAGTAAAGTGAAGTCTTTTTGTGCCTGTTATTGTGGTTACATTTATCAGTTTATGGAGCTATTTGCTTCATAAAGTGCTTGCCCCACCTTGCTATTGCAGTGGTGCAATAACTGATATCAGATGACCCAAATGGAAGAAAACCTGCTTTACATCCAGTGTGCATGATTTCTAAACACTGCATTAGCTGCATTGTAATATAGGCTTACAGACTGTTTTGCTTTTCCTTTTTCTGCCTCACAGACTTTGACTTTTGAGGGAGTCCAAGCAGTCCGCACATATGAGAAAGCCTAACTCTACCATCCACTTGAAAGAGCAAATAATTCCTGCACTGCAAAAAAGGTGTTAACCTTTTTTTTATTTTTAAAACAAAAAAAAATGTTTTTACAGTATGCAGTGATTTGCACTTGATTTGTTGCTGTAATATGAGATAAATATTTTGTAAAATCTTTTGTAAGAAATTCAGACTGTGACTGACATTCGGTGTATCACGTGAAAAAGGGAAAAATAAAGTGCTTTACTGAACTTTCTTAGCGTCTCTGACTCTTCAGTTGGTATTTAGAAGTCGTGAGAGCTCCATCAGTACCACGGTCATCTCAACATTGCTCTCTTTCTCTTATTTCTTTTTTCACGCAACTTTGAATGCGGTCCTACTTCTCTTTTCAAATACATCAACCTATGTTGTGGGAACAGTGCTCTCCCTGTGATGGGTCAGTTCCAGGTGACAGCTGCAAGGGTGACAGTGCAGGCCAGAGCCGGCCGTGCAGCAGCAGCCAGTTTGACCATTGAACTCATGGGAATGAACGTCCTCTAGTAACCCCCAGATGGTCAGAGACGACTAGGAGCTGGAGGGGGATGGAGTGGGTGGGGGTGGTGATGTCACTGGCCTCGGGATAATCCGGTTTTAGTTGTGGTGTCATTACGTAGAGGCATCATTCGATGGTGTGTGGACCAACCGTGACTGAATGCTGCGGCTGGCATGACAGATGACAGGCAGACAACGATAAGGAAGGACAGTGTGCAGGATGTGGACAGTTTGTATCAATCCAATATCCCAAGGTTAGTAGTTCAAAGTCTAAAAATAAAGTCTTGTAAGCTCCAACCGGTACAAACAGGAGGACACTGTTTAAAGCTTGTGCTCATTTTAAAATTCAGTTTCCATCTTTCCCACATTTTTAGAAGTTAAAGCCTCCCTTTTCTGCGCTGTGAGCTGTGTCGAGCCTACTGAACACTGCGACAACAAGTGGCCATTCTTCTCATCTTAAGACACAGGCTGCCAAGTTTTTGGCCACCTCTGAATGCCATGCGACACAAAGAAACTGTGGTAACTGGAGTGGAACTCATTTAGCCGTTGCCCACTGAATTAATTTCAATTAAAATCTATCTCAATTCTCCAGTTATAGTATGCCAATAATTACCTCTACTCTCACAAAACCAGGCCAAATCATTAGCATAAGTATTTGGGGTGAAAGCAGTTAAAAGACAAGTTCAGGCAAGTTAATGTCACAATATTCACAGCAGCTGAAAAGGGAGCTTATCACATTCCATGTTACAGAAACAGTGTAGCTTCTTCTGTCCTCAGTACTCTTCCCAGGAGAGCAGCAGGAGTTTCCTCTTTGTGTGGAATCTGTGTCAGTGGTGTAAGCTGACCTGTAGTAACCTCTCTCTGGCCTCATTAGCTAGATACAGTGTCAAGACTTGACCATCTACTGTGCATCCCCTTCAGTTTGTCCTACTCCAACTGTTACCCATTCAATTGATTATACACCCCCCAGGGCTCCAGCTACCACTGAGTAAACTGTGGTCATGTCATGATGACATGACCATGACATGAAAGGTATGATAAGACACATATTACATGTGGGGGTTTTCGGAAAAAAAAAAGTATTATGTTTTTATGTGGAAGTGTAGAGATGGCTTTGAAACATCCTTTTAGACAACAGAATAAACAAAACAGTTGAATAGATTAAATGAATAAATAAAATCTAAAATGTTCACGATCACATTCATATTGTTGGTTTTGTTCCTGACTACATTGTCATCACCTGGGGAACAAACTGGACTACTATTTGAAATGTTGTGGTTGTGCACTTTTAGTGAAAGACTTACAAAAGAGACACTTGCATTGCTATATTTTAATGTCAAATTGTTACTATTCACAAGCATAAGGAAGATGTAATTGACAAATAATACATAATGTAATTTTAACTGCAGTTAAAATGCAATTTCAGTAGTAATGATTCTGGGATAAAACTCTATTCGTCCATTTATTTTATTATTTACAATGAGATTATTCTCAATATGAATGGTTATATCATGTTAGCAACACAACTAAGAGACAAATGTCCATTATTGGTGTCAAGTTCAAGTATTTAGTGTTGCCATTCTCAAAGTTGGGAAAAGATATCACAAAAACAGAGCATAAAACAAAACACACACACACACACACACACACACACATCATGCACTCAAGGGACTATCAGACACAAAGACAGTGCTTTGATCACTGAGATATTCAAAAATGTATATATTGCACGTTTACCTGGTTAAAGTGAGTCTTTAAATACAATTCAAGTTGAAACAAATATTTATGTTTTCTCATCATGAATCAAAATGTCTTTTATAACAGCGACACTATCTTCTTTACTTAAATCCCTAAACTCAGAAATATTCAAAGACGCTTTGGGAACAAAACACCAACAACTTCATCAGTGATAGTGGAGCATTACCATAAAACTCCAGCTGTTCCAGCACAGTTACTGGAGAGGGTCTCATGTACCATCTATGTACTAATAAAGAGTGATAAAGATAAAGATTAAGTGGATTTATTTTTGAGTACATTTGGGATTAGTGTCCCAAGCTGTAATAACTGTCTTCTATGAAGCATATGGAGCAAAAATTTAAAGCCATATGTAAACAACAGCTGGTACAAGCTGAAACAATGAAACAATGTACCAGTTTACATCTGAGATCATCTGCCCGAACATGCACACAACCAATAGTGTAATCACATGATGTGCCAATACAATCTCAGATGTAAATGTTTCATTTCAACATCACCACGTTAACAACAACATTCAGGTTGTCAAATAAACCTGCACAGGAGCTGATTCTTGCAGCTCTCTTGATTCTTCAGAGATTTAAAATACACGTCTTGGATTTAACTTTTGACCAATTACAGTATTCAAAATCAATCTGAAATCATGTAACCCATACTGTACATCACATGCGGGGTATATCGTAATATACTGTAGCTGTAATATGAATGCTGGTATCTTTCATATTAGTACAGTTAATGAGATGTTATAAAATAAGATATGCATTAATATCATGTTATATATGTTACAAACATAAGATAAATGATACAAAGACTGTTATATATTTTCTGACCCCTTCTGGTTTATAAAAACCTGTTCAAAAGGTTGCTCAAATATATCGTGTTTGTGCATACAGACAAACAGCCACTGACCAAAGGTAGCGACAGGGTGTTTTTGGTCTATCAAGGAATTGCCGTTAGCCACAGCACTCATCCCTTTTGACTGACAAAAAAATGTATCACATGTGCCCTACTGTGCTTTTAATGTTCCAAACAGTAAAACATCTTTGATAACAGTGCAAGAAAATACTTATACCCACCCTCTCATTGACTAAAACAAGTGGCATCAAATTAAAACGAGTGAGTAGCTGGAAAACACGTTTCCAATTGTAGAACAAATCTGATACTTGATGGTAGAAAAAGTAAATATGTACTCAAACCTCATTCTGACAGTGCAAGCACCGCATGCCTGTTTTTAGCACCAATGTCAAAATGAGGAGCTGATGCACGTGTCTACATGGTACAGTTTAATAAGACTTTAAAGGTAGTGTTTCATCAGTATGTTCGGGAGCTCTCATATACAGTGCATGGTCATTCCTTTTTACACTTAACAAGTAGACAGAAACAGGCAGAAAAAAAACCCAATCCTTTCCTTTCATATATGGTTTGATTCCTTGTTTGTACCCATTAGGGAAAAAATAAAGGGATACGTGTGAGGTTTCCTTTAAATGACGAAATAAAATCATGGACCATGGAATAATGCACAAACATTGTAAATGCCCAATTGTTGATTCAAGGGCTTTAAAAGCAGGATAAGTTGTGCATTGAAAACATTGTCATCTACAATACGATGAAGCTAAAATTACACAGAAGACTGAGCGTCAAAATGTAAGTACCATTACTGTACAAACCACTATTCAAGTAAATGCGGACTTGAACCGTCCGACTTGAATCAGCAATTGTGGCCATTTTTGTACCCTGTTTACAGCATAGTTGAACATATTCTACTCTACGTTCCTTCTTTAAAAAATGCAACGTTATATTTATTTGCACGTGTTACTGTGAAGATCAAAATGAATGATCCACAAAGGTAATATACTATATTGTTCCATTTAAATATTCCCATAATATCCACCTTCAAAATAATTAAACACACACAAAAAAAAAAAATGGAAAGGAATGACACTGTCTGCATGTATTTGGTATGAGAGCTCAACCAAATCTGGAAATAAAAATAAAATCGGCCCATCACGTAAAATCACCCATCATCCTCTGCTGTTCTCCCTAAGGCCAACAGTGAACAGCGGGCTGCGTTTCAGCAGCGCAGGGTGTGACGTGACTGTGTCGTTATCAGTAAATTGACTGAATTGTAAACCTCAGACTGGATCAGACTGAAGCTTCAAATCTGCAGCGGCGAGAAGGCATAGAACGGAAACTGGGCCTCGTCCTCGTCCACAAAGAAACACTGGAAGTAGGGCAGCTCATCTGTGGAGGGAGTCACAGTTCAGTACAATGTGTTCCCCGCCTCGCTCTGGCATCCAGAGAGAAGACTGAGCGTGCAGTTTGCATATTTGTGAGATATTCCGCTCATGAGAAGGGAATTTGCACTTACCTTCCATAAGAAAGCTGTCTGATACAGAAGGCTCTGCTGTCGGAGAGAGAGCATGATGTCAGCGTAAAACAATACAGTGCTTTATTACCTTAAATTACTGCTCCACTCTATAGTACCTTTCACTTTCTCCTCCTTGGCAACTTTCTTCTCAACAGATTTTTCTACAAAAAAAGAGGAATTTTTGTGTAGAAATAAAGTAAAGCTCAAATGGTTTATTCCAAACACTCAGAGTTTAGTTGCTTTACAAACAATTATACCTTTCTTTGCAGGCTCCTGTATCTCTTTCAGAACTCTGTCCTCTGTAAAAAGCAACAAATGATTGATAATTTATGATTAATAATCATTTTGCTGATTTGATTATGTCAATGTGCAATGCTGATTACATAGTGTACCTTTAGCTTTCTCTTCTTTGGCTGCCTTCTTCTCAACTGTTTTTTCTAAAAATAAAATAAATAAAGGTTCTTTTTGTCCATGAATGATTCAGGTCTACGGTCTACAGTAGTAGGTTTAGGTGTGTAAACTGTTCATCTGGTAACACTGTCAGTTTACAATCAAGATCGCAGTTTTATTATTAAGTATTTTCCTTAATTTAACTCTACTTAAAGGTGATTGTGTGCAGTACCTTTCTTTGCAGCTGTGGGTTTGACCTTTTGTTTTAAAACCTCAGGTTCTGAATGCAAACAAATGGGCAATTACAATATTGTGTTATTGCCAGAAAAATAATTATTATTTTACCCCCCGGTAAAAGTAAAAGGTGTTTTCGTCTTGCTTGTCTAAGCCAGTGTAGCATTTGTATATTTTACGAGTTTCAGGATGACACTGATGTTGGCTGTGGCTGATTTACTCTCTTCAAAATGATCTATATGTTGCTATGAACGGACATGCCTGGTCCTGTGGTGAAGCAAAAACCTTCTTACGGTTATTAAAATTACTAGCATGCATGTTCAGTAAGATGCTTGAAAATATTGCTAAATTATATATAAACATATTGTCTACAAGCCCAAGATTTATAGACAAAAAATAAACAGTAGAACAATATTGTAGTATTTTGTAACTTATTGTCTATAAATCTTTATAACAGAATATTTCCTTGCTAAATAAAAGCATCTTCAATTTAGATGTTTTCAATGAAGCATTTATTCAGCAAGAAAATATTCTCAGCCTTCAGCTCCTCTGAATAACCGAGTAACTACATTTACAGACTGCAGTGGCCTTCATGTTGTAATCAGATTACAGGATGTACTCCGATTACCACTGCTGATTACATGAAGTGCTGCCTCTACTGAAGCACCAAAAATGTACCTTTCTTCACACGGACTGGTTTGGTCTTTTCCCTAAATATGGCTGCGTCATCAGGAAGAAAAAGCAATTGATAAAACATACAGTTTTCTTTCATTTGTGTAAGTACTTCTGGTGATAAAGTTGCAGCATGTAAAAGACTATAAAACCTTAGTAGGAAAGCCTTAAATGCATCACCAAACTGACTAACACAACAAGTTTTACTAGTATTCTTGTTGCATAAAAACTGATCTAAATAACTGTGATATGTAAAATAAGAGTAGTCATCGTTCAAAACACTGTACCTTTCTTCACTGTTGCAAGTTTGTCCTTTTCTTTAGGAGTCTCCAGTTCTGCAAAAAGAAAACTAAGGTCAGAGGTGTGTAATCTGGATGTTTAACCCTGACAGTGGACACCAAAATTACCTGATTTACCAATAATGCAGCTAATTGCAACGTTAGCCACAGCATTACAGCAACAAAATGTACTTTCTAAAAGCTAAAAGCAGCTTGCACAGCAGGAGGAATCTACGACTAGAAAGCTGTAACTAGTGTTAACTGAAAGTTCATCTCAGTTGAGCAGAGAAACACCATTGACTTTTCCATCAGTGGCTGGTTTGGACTTTTCTGCAAACATTACCTTAAGTGGCAGACCTTATATGCTCTACATGTCATGTCTACTGTAGTAGCTTTCAGTTTGCCTAAACAGAGGTTGTATTAGGTGGAGTCTGTCACACACATTTCAACGTTTTCAACACATTGTAAATGTTTGGGTGGTTGGATAGCCCTTACTTTCGAATCTCAGCTCTTTATTGTCCACATTTTAAAATGTGAGAGGTGAATAATGAAAGCCTAATAAATTATTTGTATGCAGTGCTTTGCAGATCTACCAACTACACCTGTTTGGACAAGCATACAGCATTCTTAAGGATTAGTTTATAGAAACAGCTGTTTGCCAATGGAGCTGCTGCAGAGAAATCACTCTCCATTTACTGTACATAACTCCACAGTTATTTATTGTTGATCTCATAGGCAAAGTGCTCGTTTCCCTCGTGAGCAATCGGATCAGAGCTTTTACAGAATAGAGTGACCTACATTTTGTGACCAGATCACTGTAATCAATTGGTTCTATGGATTACTGCCTCAGCTGAGGCACCACTAATGTACCTTTCTTTATATGGACTGGTTTGGTCTGTTTCCTCAATAATGCTGGGTCATCAGGGAGAAAATGCAATTAATAAATGCTTATTTGTGCCATATAATTACAGCACATTAAAGAAAAATGCCCCGTTGACACACAGAGTGGGTTCTTTTGCATTAAAAACCGAAAGGTTTATGTATTTGTCACCAAACATGACAATGTGATATGTAAATGTTGTATTTGTACCTTTTGTAACAGATGGTTTAACTTTGTCCTCTGCTACTTTGGGCTCTGAGTAAATAAGAATGTAAGAATTTATTGAAACTCAGAAAATAGCTTTGTTCTTATTCAGTACGGTATTTACAATACTATAATATACACTAAGTTGCCCGTTTATTCACCTAGCTAAAACTAATGCAGTATAACTCAAAACAATTCAACAGCACAAAGAACAAAGGTAGAATCTGTTGCAGGATTGTTGTATTAGACTGTATTACTGTAGTTTTAGCTAGGTGTACCTAATATACTGGCAACTGAGTGTAAGTGAAAACCAGATTTTTTGTAAGCACAACCCCAGAAAATCATCTGCAGACAGGTGGCAGTGGCGGGCTACCTTTCTTTTTTAGGAATGGTTTGACCTTTTCCTTCTTTGTTTCAGCCTCTGTTTTAGAAGGAGCTAATTCAAATGAAAAACAATGTTTCACAATTTAAAAGCAAATATAAATGACTATGTCTTGTCTGTGACATTTTAGGTTGTTTTAAAGAAATATTTACCTTTCTTTTCATGAGCTGGTTTGAGCTTATCCTTTAAAACCTCAGCTGCTGAGTATAACAGAGGAAGAGAATGATTTTAGTTTTCAGGATAATTAGCTTTTTGACAAATAATGATGGATTATATCTGCATTACCTGTTTTGACAAGAACTGGCTTGGCCTCAGGTTCTAAAGGGAAATGAGAAAAATTAAGTGGTGAGATTCTTGCTTTTTGGAAAGTGACAATGAACAATTCAAATGATGTCACATTTCTTGAAGATTGAGATTAAGCATGAGAAACATCTTGCTTGGATGTTTCAGTTTTTTAATCTGAAAAGTGCGCCTACAGTATATTCTATAGAATATTAGAGATAGAAAGTACAGCTGATCAGCACCTTTCTGTGAGGTTTTTGCCTTTGCCTTTTCTTTCACAACAGTTTCTATGTTAAAAGAAAAAAGAGAAAATGTCACAATAACAGTGTTGGAATAACCTTTCACACCTACAGAACGCAATGCAGCTTTTTAGCTTTTATAAAGCATGTCATCTCTTCTGTGTGAAAAACATGCATCTCCAAAATTCTTCAGCATTCTTGGGCTCTTTTTAGCCAATGAGAAATACATTTTAATATTATCCAGTGGGTTAAAAAATTAATTCTTAAGTGCAAGATCTAAAACAAATATTTCAGCCTATGGTGCATCATGTAAATGTTCATGTCAATTTTAAACAAAAATATTTCCTCAACATGTCTTTAAATTATATCAGTGATGACATTACTGATTTGAGTCATTATCATCAGCAGCCACGTGTTAATAGCTACTAAAGCACTACAGAGACACACTTCTGCAGCATACCTTTCTTCTTTTCAGCAGTTCTAGGTTTTGCTTTGATAACAGGTGCTAGAAAAATACATGGTCCTATTATTTTAATGTGTACAGTAAAGTGAGAAACCACAGACACATCTGTTGCAAAACTGCAATGTGAATAAAAATAAAAGAGAGACAAAAACATTGTGGAATAAATTAAAAACACCAAAGAAACCCAACCTTTTGTGGGAGTCACTGGCTCGACCTTCTTCTTCTTGAGAACCTCAGCTTCTAAAGCAAATAATAACAACAAAAATATCAGTCGTTGTACATGTTATTATAGCTCATTTACAACTGATGCAGTTTATTTACACACTCCACCGCTTAATTCCAGCATTCAGACTAAAAGAATCCGACTGTCAAACTGAAAGATAATGAGAACATAATTCAATAAGTAAATAATATTGAAATAGTAGAAAATAAAACGCAGAAAGTCGTTTCCCTATCATTTATTTTAGGTATAACTTGATGTGTAACTACCTTTTTTTGTTGGTGTTGGTTTGACTTTCTCTTTTGGAGTTGCAGGCACTATGAAAAAGAAAATAGATTTGTATGAGTAAAAAGATAGATGAATAAAAAATGAATCGGGGAATTCAAAACTTCAAAATGGATGTTGAGCAATTTGCTCTCTGAATAATAAAGGCATACTATACAAACAGAAAATATTAAAGTTAGCTATGTGTTAACAAACAGATGTACCTTTCTTCAGGGGCGCAACCTTCACCTTCTCCTTTGTCAGCGAGACATTTTTGGGTGGTATTTCTGCCTCTGTAAGAAAATAATTAATGAGTAGAAAAACCAATTACTTCGTTATTTTTTCATAACTGCTGATTAGTGTCCTCTTACCTTTGACTACTGGGGCTGGTTTTGTCTTGAGTGGAGCAGGTTCTATGTAAAGAGATTTATAGGTTTGTTATTTCATAAAATAAGATGATAACATTGGAACAATAAAGCTAAATACAAAGATACGCCTTACCTCTCTTTGTTAGAACAGGTTTGGGCTTCTGTTTAGAAACCACAGCTGCTGAGAAAAATATATAGCATGATGTTAAGTATGCAAAACCAAAACCATGATTTCATGAACACTTGTTGATGTCTGACTGCACTTCATTGCTACATTGCCTGTTTCTGTGTCATGGTTTTGGGTTATGGTCTGCCACTCATCCAAAGATGTGACACTTACCCTCCTTTTTCAAGATGACTGATTTGACCTTTTCTTTAGGAGCAACAGCTTCTGTGTGTCAAAAGCACAATATTTCTTACAGAAAGATAGATTTATTTCCATTATAACAATTCATTATTTTGCTCTTTGGTGATGACAACATTATCAAGAAGTTGTGACTAAAAAAGTGTGTGTTACCTTTCTTAGCAGGAGCTGCTTTGGCCTTTTCCTTTGGAACGTCTGTGTCACAAAACAAGGCACAAAGTCACTTTTAAAGTTCATATCAAAAACATTTACACTGTAAACTGGTAATCTGGTCTTGTTGGTACAGTGCAACATTGCTGATAGTATCCCTGCGATTGGTGCATGAAAAGGGCAAAATCACATTCTGGTGAACAGTTTCCTTCATGGGAGTACTCGTTTGAAGGTGCTGAAGAACACTATTTATGTGAATATGTTGATGTTTGAAATAAAATATGCTGTACCTGTCTTTGGAGAGACTGTTTTGACTTTCTCTTTTGGCACCTTGACATCTAAAAAAACAACCAAACGAAAAACAAGTGCAGGCTTGACTCAATGATTCAACTAACAAATAATTCTGAATCCAATAAAACAAACCAGAGAAAATTACCTTTTTTCATAGGCACTATTTTCACTCTCTCTTTTACCAGAGAGGCATTTCTAGGAGTGCCTTCTTGTTCTGTCAGCAGAAATGTGGAAATAGAATACACATACAATATGTAATCACAGTTTAAGATGCAGTTTGATATTTTTATGCACATTATAACATACATTACCTTTTTTCAAGATGACTGGTTTGACTTTTTCTTTTGGAGCAACAGCTTCTGTGTGTCAAACGCACAATATTTCTTACAGCAGGGTAGTTTTAATTCCATTGGCAATTTTTTTTCTCTTTGGTGATAAAACATTATCAAGAAGTTGTAACTTATAAACTAATGTGTGTTTTACCTTTCTTGGCAGGAGCTGCTTTGGCCGTTTCCTTTGGAACTTCTGTGTCACAAGACAGGGCACAAAGTTAGTGTAGTGCATGAAAAGACAAAACTCACAGTAGTTTCATTAGTTTTTTGGAAGGTGTTGAGCATTATTTCTGTTTATTCTCAGTTTCCAATTTATTGGGTACACATAGCAAAACTAATGCAGTCTAATTCCACAGTCTGCAATAAATCCTACTTTCATGAAGCTTTATAATGCTCAACTTTTAAAACTGTTTTAAAGAGGTGTTGATTCAACTGTAAGATCAGTACTTTGTGGTGCTGTTAAACTGTATTGTCTTATTTTGGTATACGTTAATGAAAGGATTTCCAGTTTTTCAGCAACGATATCGCTCTCCAAGTGAGACAGTCTCAAAATGGGTTAAACTGCAGCATCTGTGAGTCTTTGCATTACCTGGTTTTACAGGTTTAGGTTTTATTTTTTGCTTTGGTTTCTTCTTGGGCTCCTTGGGAGCTGCCACTGGTGGAAAATTATGACATCATAAAATCATTTAGTTTTAGCTATATATGTGAAGATCAGTGTTATGTGACACTTTCTTTGAATAGAATTTTTTATGTTGTTGCACATAAAAGATCAGTGTCAGCATACACATAATCTGACAAGAATATGGTCACGTTTATTTCTTGAATGAGCTGATTAAAGAGATATTAGTTATGAAGCATACCAATAGTTAAAAACATCAAATTCAATTTACTTTTTACAGATCAACTGACAATTGACACAAAAGAATAAAAGCATGCGCATACCTTTCTTTGCAGATTCTGGTTTGGCTTTCACCTTAGGAGCTTCAGGAACCTCTATTATTGTGAAAAATGTCAAAAATATAAGTCATTAGCTCATTGCTCATCGCTCATCATCTTTCGTTGCAGGCATTAGGGTTCAGCCTTATAGTTACCTGTTTTTGTAACATTAAGCTGTTCCTTCTTCAGAACAGGAACTATTTGCTTTTTTGCAGCTTTCGGCACCTTTACTGCCCTCTTGGGTTCATCAGCTAAATTGAACAGCAGAGACGTTATGCTATAATTTCGTGTGATGCTGTGTAATTTCATTTCATTTTATTTTACACAGTATTGCTGGTGACTGGTATCTTGACATGTATCTGAAAAACTGATATATTAATTATCTCTGCAATACCTTCAATATCTGATCTGTGTAAACATGGGTTGTTTTAAGCTGTTTAACCTTTTACATCACCTGCTTTTGTAACATTAAGCTGCTCCTTCTTCAGGACAGACACAACATCCTTCTTGACTACTTTAATCCTCCTCACAGTCTTTTGGGTTTTAGCATCTGAAATAAAAAGGCAAAGCTGATTGAACAGTTTCACATACATTATAGAGAAGAAAGAAATACACTTCACAGAACAAAGGAAACATATCAGTCAATGTAACCTTATTTAGACTCCAGTCTCTTTGGGACCCTCTGTGATCAAGCACATCTAAAATACTATATATAGTATTGTTATGAGAACTTTACATGTATCATAATTTTTTATCAATGCTTGTGATATATCTATTATGGATGGCAAGTCAGTCTGTAGGTTGGTCCTGACTGAAAGATGTCTACAAATATTAAATGGATTTACAGAAACATTTGTGCAGATATTCATGGTTACCAGTTGATAAATCTTACTGACTTAATTGATCCACTGACTTTTCCTCTGGCCAAAACACCAGGTTTATATTTTGTGTTGCTATTCAAATATTTTGACAACTTTGACTGTCATGCAATTTGGTAAAGACAATCATGTGATTATGATGATCTAATTATGAATTGTAATAACTTTGATCCACAGACTTTTCATTTAGACCCCATCATGGTTCAAAACACTGATTTATGGCCAAATCCCTGTAAAACTAATTTAATTCATATCAGCCTCAGCTGTACTTCGTGTTTAGTTCTTCTTAGCAAGCTAACACACTAAACTATGAGCATTACACTTAAAGCACCACTGTTTAGTAAAACCTTGCAGAGATGCTAGCAAGGCTGTAGACTTTTATTGATAATGGATTAGGTAGGAATGGTCAATGGATCCTTATATTGTGTAATTGCTAAAAAACAACAATGCATTGATGTGTACCTGTCTTTGTGTCTTTCTTCTTGGCAGGTTCTTTGTGAGTCTTCTTGAGTTCTTTCTTTTCTATGGCAGGTTTTTCTTGGTCTTGTTTTTGTTTAGAGGGCTTCCTTGGTTCTTTTTCTTCTTTTGCTAATTCTTTCTCTTTTTGGGGTGGTTTTTCCTCCGCAGAAGTCTTCTTCAGGTCTTTTTTCTGCTTTATAGTCTTCGTAACTTCTTTTTTCTCAACATGAGGCTTCTTCATTTCTATTTCTTCTATCTCATCCTTCAAAGGCTTCTTGTCTTCCATTTCTTTCTTTGAAGGATCCACTGTCTTCTTGACTTCTTTCTTTACTTTAAAAGGCTTCTCCACTTTGTCCTCCACTGAGGGCACCTTTTCTTCTTTATCTTCCTTGGAAGGCTTCATTTCTTTCTTCTCTTTAGAGGGCTTCCTAACCTCTTTTTCTTTACTTGGTTTCATAATTTTTTGCTCCTCCATAGATGGTTTCAAGTCTAAGTCTTCTTTGGATGTTTTGTTGACCTCTTTCTCTTCTTTAGGTGGTTTCTCGACTTTTACCTCTTCTTTGGAAGGTGCCTTTACTTCTTTCTCCACTTTAGGAAGTTTCTTCTCTTCTTTATCCTCTTTTAGAGATTTTTTCTCTTCCTTGGGAAGTTTCTCCACTTCTGCCTCTTCTTTGGAAGGTTTCTTGACTTTTTTCTCTTCTTTGGGAGGTTTTGTGACTTCTTTCTCTTCTTTGGATGGTTTCTTTACTTCCTTCTCTTCTTTGGGAGGTTTGGTGACTTCTTTCTCTTCTTTGGGGAGTTTCTTGACTTCTTTCTTTTCTTTGCGAGGTTTAGTGACATCTTTCTCTTCTTTGGGATGTTTCTTTACATCTTTCTCCTCTTTGGGTGGTTTCTTTATTTCTGCGTCTTCTTTGAGAGGCTTCTTGGCTTTCTCTTCTGATGGAGGTTTCTTGACTTCTTTCTCTTCTTTTGATGGTTTTTTGACTTTCTCTTCTGATGGAGGTTTCTTGACTTCTTTTTCTTCTTTTGATTGTTTTTTGACTTCTTTTTGTTCTTTGGGAGGTTTCTTTACTTCTGCCTCTTCTTTGGAAGGTTTCTTAGCTTCCTTTGCTTCTTTGGGTGGTTTCTTGACTTCTTTCTCTTCTTTTGATGGTTTCTTGACTTCTTTCTCCTCTTTGGGTGGTTTCTTGACTTCTACCTCTTCCTTTAATGGTTTCTTGACTTCTGCCTCTTCTTTGGATGGTTTCTTGACTTCTTTCTCTTCCTTGAGAGGCTTCTTGTCTTCTTTCTCTTCTGTCTGATGTTTCTTGGCTTCTATCTCTTCTTTGGGAGGTTTCTTTTCTTCTGCCTTATCTGTTGATGGTTTCTTTACATCTTTCTTTTCTTTGGATGGTTTCTTGACTTCTCCCTCTTTTTTGGATGGTTTCTCCACCTCTCCATTTTTGGATGGTTTCTTTACTTCTGTCTCTTCTTTGGCAGGTTTCTTTACTTCTGTCTCTTCTTTGGCAGGTTTATTTACTTCTGTCTCTTCTTTGGATGGTTTCTTGACTTCTACCTTTTCTTTGGATGGTTTTTTGACTTCTGCCTTTTCCTTTGATGTTTTTTTGACTTCTACCTGTTCTTTGGATGGTTTCTTGACTTCTGTCTCTTCTTTGGCAGGTTTATTTACTTCTGTCTCTTCTTTGGATGGTTTCTTGACTTCTTCCTCTTGTTTGGGTGGTTTCTTGACTTCTACCTCTTCTTTGGATGGTTTCTTGACTTCTCCCTCTTCTTTGGATGGTTTCTTGACTCCTGCCTCTTCTTTGGATGGTTTCTTGACTTCTTTCTCTTCTTTGGGAGGTTTCTTGACTTCTGCCTCTTCTTTGGATGGTTTCTTGATTTCTTTCTCTTCTTTGGGAGGTTTCTTTACTTCTGCCTCTTCTTTGGGAAGTTTCTTGAATACTTTCTCTTCTTTGGGAGGTTTCTTTACTTCTGCCTCTTCTTTGGAAAGTTTCTTGACTTCTTTCTCTTCTTTGGCAGGTGTCTTGGCTTTTGCCTCTTCTTTGGATGGTTTCTTGACTTCTTTCTCTTCTTTGGGAGGTTTCTTGACTTCTGCCTTTTCCTTTGATGGTTTTTTGATGGCTGCCTCTTCTTTGGATGTTTTCTTGACTTCTTTTTCTTCTTTGGGAGGTTTCTTGACTTCTGCCTTTCCCTTTGATTGTTTTCTGACTTCTGCCTCGTCTTTGGATGGTTGCTTGACTTCTTTCTCTTCCTTGCGAGGTTTCTTTACTTCTGCCTCTTCTTTGGGAAGTTTCTTGACTTCTTTCTCTTCTTTAGATGGTTTCTCTGCTTCTGCCTCTTCTTTGGATGGTTTCTCGACGTCTCTCTCTTCTTTGGATGGTTTCTTGACTTCTTTCTCTTCTTTGAGAAATTTCTTGGCTTCTGCCTCTTCTTTGGATGGTTTCTTCACTTTTTGCCCTTCTTTGGGAGGTTCCTTTACTTCTGCCACTTTTTTGGGAAGTTTCTTGACTTCTTTCTCTTCTTTAGATGGTTTCTTGACTTCTTTCTCTGCTTTAGATAGTTTCTTGACTTCTTTCCCTGCTTTTGATGGTTTCTTGACTTCTGCCTCTTCTTTGGATGGTTTCTTGACTTCTTTCTCTTCTTTGAGATGTTTCTTGACTTCTGCCTTTTCCTTTGATGGCTTCTTGACTTCTGCCTCTTCTTTGGATGGTTTCTTGACTTCTTTCTCTTCTTTGGATGGTTTCTTGATTTCTTTCTCTTCTTTGAGGGGTTTCTTGGCTTCTACCTCTTCTTTGGATGGTTTCTTGACTTCTTTCTCTTCTTTAGTTGGTTTCTTGACTTCTGCCTCTTCTTTGAGAGGTTTCTTGACTTCTGCCTTTTCCTTTGATGGTTTCTTGACTCCTGCCTCTTCTTTGGGTGGTTTCTTAATTTCTTTCTCTTCTTTGGGAGGTTTCTTTACTTCTGCCTCTTCTTTGAGAGGTTTCTTTACTTCTGCCTCCTCTTTGGGAAGTTTCTTGACTTCTTTCTCTTCTTTGGATGGTTTCTTGACTCCTGCCTCTTCTTTGGATGGTTTTCTGATTTCTTTCTCTTCTTTGGGAAGTTCCTTGGCTTCTTTATCTTCTTTGGATGGTTTCTTTACTTCTGCCTCTTCTTTGAAAGGTTTCTTGATTTCTTTCTCTTCTTTGGGAAGTTTCTTGACTTCTTTCTCTTCTTTAGATGGTTTCTTTAATTCGGCCTCTTCTTTGAGAGGTGTCTTTACTTCTACCTTTTCCTTTGATGATTTCTTGACTTCTGCCTCTTCTTTGGATGATTTCTTGACTTCTTTTTCTTGTTTGGATGGTTTCCTTACGTCTGCCTCTTCTTTGTGAAGTTTCTTGACTTCTTTCTCTTCTTTGGGTGGTTTCTTGACTTTATCCTCTTGTTTGGATGGTTTCTCGACTTCTTTCTCTTCTCTGAGAGGTTTTGTGACTTCTTTCTCTTCTTTGGATGGTTTCTTGACTTCTACCTCTTTTTTGGATGGTTTCTTGACTTCTTTTTCTTCTTTGGATGGTTTCTTTACTTCTGCCTCTTCTTTGGGAAGTTTCTTGACCTCTCTCTCTTCTTTGGAAGGTTTCTTCACTTCTTTCTCTTCTTTTGATGGTTTCTTGACTTCTGCCTTTTCCTTTGATGGTTTTTTGACTTCTCCCTCTTTTTTGGATGGTTTCTTGACTTCTTTCTCTTCTTTGGGTGGTTTCTTGACATCTTTTTCTTTGGGTGGTTTCCTGACTTCTTTCTCTTTTTTGGATAGTTTCTTGACTTCTTTCTCTTCTTTGGGTCGTTCCTTTTCTAATCCTTTTTCTTTAGAGGGTTTTGACACTTGTTTCTTTTCTTTAGGTTTTGCTATTTGTTCCTTCTCCTTCTTTACTCCTGCCTCCTCTTTGTGCAGTTTCTTTGCTTCTTTTTTGTCTTCAGTAGGCTTTGGTTCTTCCTTCTTTTTAGGCTCTTCTTCTAAAAGCAGTCATGAAAGTGTCAGTTTTTATGAACTGTAAGATGTCTGTAAGACTTAAAAGTGGAGCAGTCTACAACTGGACAAAGTACCCTTTAGTGGGAAGGTTACTTATAATAACATACATTTTATTTAGAGGAATATGTCCTAGTGTTATACTGTTTTTCATGTTGAACATATAAGTGTATATGCTAATAGGCTTACAAAGTACAGTTAAACTAATAAATAATATATCAATATTAAGTAGTAAACATATTTTCTATTCTGTACACAAACTCTACAAAATCTGTGTTTTTATTTTTACACATGTACATCGTGAAGTGTAATTAATTACCTTTGGGCTTCTCTGGTTTCTTCTCAAGCGGTTTGGCCTCCTCCTTTGGCTTTTCTTCTTTTAGTTTTATCTCTATGGCTTCCTGATATTTGGTTTCCTTTGCTTTTTTCTCCTCCTTTTCAGTTTCTGCAGCTTTGAGGTCTGTAAACAACAATATACCTTCATAGGAAAAACTATCACATGCTCATGTGCATATGTACATTTTTGTTTTCACTAAATTATACCAAACCAATGCATTTAATGAGAACACATATAAATAGATTTTGCAAGTGGAAAAGGTGCATAGTTTCAAGAATATTACCTTTAATAATGGCATCTTTAACTTCTTTTATTGCATGTCTTTCCTTTGCCTCTTTGAGAACTAAAGCATATCAGACAAGAATATATAAAAATATACAGTACATAACATTGCAATTGTAACAACTGACCAGACATGTAATATAGTCATCATAATAAATAATTATCATTGCATAAGCACTATAAGCACTACAGCGCTAAAAACACTATGATCAAAAATGCACCAAAAACCATTATGTTACATTGTTAAAACAATCATACATCATCATAAAGTTTAAGAGGTAGGCTAAACACATGTACAGAAAGTAATAATATCTAGTTATAGTGATCAATTTTCAATTAGGCCTATACATAATTAACTGTAGAGGGAGGATCAGTAGTTCAGAATGCTGTTTCATGTCCTCATTTAAAATAGTTTTTCTTAGCCTGTTAGCTCCATCTAGCTGCCCTTGGCTCACTGCCACCGAAGGCAATGACTGTTCACTGTAAAGCAGGAACACTTAAGTCGACTACACAATTAGCACCTTTGTAATTAGATTTGTCTTCTGAGTCATCAAAAAGAAAGTAGCACAGTAAAAGGACCTGGAAATAACATTAGTTCCAAGATCCTCTTTCCACAAAGCTTTTCACGCCTTAATCAGGATAAGTTTCTAACCTAAATAAAACTGAACCTTGTTATGTCCATTTTTACTTGCTTTTCAACATTTTGGGAAACATGCTTATCTTTCATGTAGTCAGATGAGAAGATCAATATTTGGTTTCAAGGACAGGACATGTAGCTGCATATGAATTAATAAAGGAAAGTGATAGTGTTCCAGGGATATAAGAACCATGTTGATGGTCAAAACATACTGTCCAAAAATATTGATGGTGCAGTTCAAAACATTTATGGATTCTGTCACTCCTGTTATAATCCTTGTGTTACATTAGGTGGATAATCTTGCTGCAAGTTTTAACTAAAGTTTGCATGATTCGTTGGTGGATGTAAAGAGCCTTGGAGTCAGTGAGTTAGCTGTGGGCTACAACTTAGTATTTTATTTTGTTTCACTGGTGTGTCTTTGATAAAATTGTGCCATTAAAAGTTGGCCAAATGAGCTATTACCAGTTATTGTTTGCAGTGTGCTCATTGGTGCACAGACAACTAGCACTGGATTACTTTTGATACTGAAGAAAATTCGAAGACCTGACGAATACCCGCAAGTTGTGAAATATAAGGAATGTCTTTTTTTGTGCAATTTCCAAGCAGGTTTATGGACGTTAATTCACGATGGACATGAACACAGAACAGAACACCAAATAAGAGTATTTCCAAAAATGTTAAAATCTGTAATGAAACCTTGACGCTTTGTTTGATGGTTAACACAAAACAAATGTGAACAAAAAGCAATGAAATGAAAACATGAACCATGATACATAAGTCACTTAACAAATGTACTGTATGTTAGGCCCTAATTCACTGTCCTTCGAAAACATGCTAGGAGAAAGATGATAGATGATACATTTTCACACATTCACAATCATTCCATATTGCATTTATCAATATTAACTCACCATTCAGAAACATTTTCATTACCTGATAATTAAAAATAAATGAAAAACATGATGATGATAATGGTAAGAGTATTGTACCTTTCTCACGCTTGTGCTCAGCTCTGGATCCGACTCTTCTGAGCCTCTCAAAGGGAACATGAACCTTCCTCTTTCGTTTAAGTTCAGGTTTCCCACTTTCGCTGTTGTTGTTGTTTTCATCAAGATCGTCAATGATGTCGGAGTATTCATCTTGGTCGTGAACAGTAGTTTCTTCTTCCTCCTCTTCCTCCTCCTCCTCCTCCTCCTTAGATTCAGGTGCTACACTGGCATTATCAAATTTCTCAGCTGACGGGATTTTTAGATCAAGTTGTTGCACAAATGGCTCCTTTTCTTCATCTTCATCAACCGCCACCTCAATCTTCACTTCGTCCTCTTTTTCCCCTTCCTCCTCCTCCTCCTCCTCCTCCTCCTCCTCCTCCTCATCCTCCTCCTCCACCTTCTCCTCTAAAGCTTCATCATCAGCCAGGTCTAAAGCTTCATCATCCTGGTCAGCTTTTATAAAATCATCTTTGACATCAGTGTCAGTTATTTCAGTGTTTTCTTCATCAACATGAAGATCTTTGTGTTCGGTCTCCTCTTCATCAGCCTCCTCCTCCTCCTCCTCC